ACATGAAAAAGCAGATTTTAAAAAATTGTGGTGTTTCTCCATATTTGGCATAGCTAGCTAACATTTACTGCCAAGTCAGTACAAATGTGTGCTTTGGTAATACCACAACAGCAAATTTAAATAAAAAATAGAAATGGAACATTTCCACACAAGATTTTAAATTCTGTCATTTCACTCTATAGGTAAAAAGACATTTTAAAAAGATTACAGAGTATTATTCAAGAATAAAAAACTGCAACTTTTATTTTAAAACAGGAATCATTGGTTTTGTTATACATTTTTAAATTACTGTGATAAAAATAACGAAAAAGGTTCTTAATAATGCCATATACAATATAGTATAGATTTGTCCCCATTATATAACATCTGTTTAATATACAAAATAGAATATGGATACACTTGAATCTATATGTAATTAAGCAGTTACTTTATGAGGGTGTTTTCAAACAGCCTTTCATCAGTAAATAAAATCCTCTTGGAGATTTCCTAGAGAGAAACTAATACTTTCCTGAAAACCTGATCACTAATTGTTGGTGGACCAGGTTGATCAAAAGTAGTCCCGAATATGATAAAATTTCCATCCAAAGTGGTTTCAAGTGTCCGCTATACACTTGTATTTTCTCTTCCAACACTGAAAGCAGGCACATAACAACACATTCATCTACAGCTACAGTCAAGGGGATGACCAACCATGATCAAAGGCTACTATGATTCTTGAATTTTGAAAGATCAAAGTATAATATTATTGTTCATTTAGTTTTTAATTTTAGTCAATGTGCTCTGATACAAGCTCAGTTATAGTCTCTGACTGCAGTTCAAAGTTCTTCCTCATGAACAACCCTATGACAATCAGATAAACTGCTCCAAGTTTCCAAACTTCAGAGAATATATCACTGACAAATTCTAGGGCAGTGGTGTTGAACCTACAGCACACGTGCCACAGCCAGCTGTTTGTTATCATTGAAGTTTCTAAAAAGTTCGCCATCCCTGTTCTAGGGTGTTAAATAGTGCCTGCCACATAGCATATGCTCAATAAATATTTTGGGAGAATAAATGAGTAAATTCCTAGAGGTATAATTGCCAAATTAAAAGTGTATTCCTTTATACTTTTTTTTGGTTTTTTGAGACAGGGCCTTGCTATATAGTTCAGGATATCCTTGAATTCACTGGGTAGCCCAGACTGGCCTTGAGCTTGCAGCAATATTCCTGCCTCAGCCTCCTGAGCATGGCTGGGATTACAGGAATGCACCACTACAAAACCCGATAATTTTGATGGGTATTGTGTAATTGCATTGTATAGATATTGGAAAAATTTGTATTTTCACCAATAGTGTAAACAATGACTATCCTTTCTATTCTATTGTCAACACAATATTACCAAACTGTTTATCTTTGTGATGATAGATGAAATGATAATGGAGTTGTGTGTCTGTGTGTGGGGGGGTGGTTTTTGGTTAAGACAGAGTCTTGAAGGCTGGCCTTCAACTCACTATATAGCCTAGGCTGGCCTCGAATTCATGGCAATGCTCCTGCCTCAGCCTCCCATATGCTGGGATCAATGGAATTTTAAATGCATGTCTTTCAGATCAGTTGAGGGTGTTTTTATTCCTTTAAAAGCCACTTGTATTGTTTTTTCTATGAAATTCTGTCTAATACTTTCACCATTTTTCTATAGTGATTTTTTAAAAATACATTTTTATTGTAAAATAGTACATACATACAGAAAAATATATAAGACTGTTGTGTATTTCAGAAAATACTTATAGAGAAAACACTGTGTTTCCATCACCTGGTCAAAAAATAGAAGCTGCTAGCCTTTAAGAACCACAGTTCAACCATTTTATGCTTAGATATTTGGGGTATGTCCAGTTTGTGACAATGAGGAACAATGCTGCTATGAATATTCTCGTTTCCAATTCTGGTACTTTAAATTCTACATTTTTTATTTGTTTGTTTTTTGAGACAAAGTCTTTCTATGTAGTTCAGGTTAGCCTTGAGCTCACTGTGTAGTCCATGCTGGCCTTGAACTCATGGCAATCCTCCTGTCTTAGCCTTCCAAGTGCTGGGACAACAGGCATGTGCCACCATGCCTGCCTAAATTTTCTTATATATCTAGTAGTGGGATTGCTGGGACATAGAGCATGCATATCTTCAATTTTCTTGAATTACATCAAAGTCTTTTCTGAAGTGGTTGTACAAGTATATACTCCCACCAGCAGTGTACAAGGATTACTAGTCTTTATTAATTTGTAGGAGGTCTTTATATATACCCTTACGGAAATTAGCCCTTGGTAATATGAGCAAATTTTTTTCTGAGTTTACAATGCCTTTAAAGGAACACTGATATTAGTCCCTTAGAGGAATGAAAAAAATACTGGAAGAAATAGAATATTCTGTGAAACATTTAAATGAAAAACAAGTATTTGGGGCTAATTTATTGCCCTTAATTTGCTACCACTTATGTCATTAATGCAAATAATTATGCCAGAAATTTTCATGGAATTACCTGGAATACAAAATGCTAAATATAATGATAATGATAGTTAACAACTGTTTGGCTTGTGTCACTTTTTTTGTTTGTTTGTTTGTTTTGGTTTTTTTTTGGTTCTGGGGATCAAACTTGGGACCTTGCACTTTCCAGGCAGGCGCTGGAACTACTGAGCTAAATTCCCAGCTCCTCTTGTGTCACTTTTAAAATCTATGTATTAACAAATTTACTTCTCACAGCAACCCTAAGAGGTAGGAACCATTTTTACCCCATTTTACAAATAGGAAATAAAGAATTGGACTGAAGATGATTTCTAAGGGTGATATAAGCAGAATTAAACAACTCAGGGAAAAGATTCTTAACTGATAAAGGTGTTTTCTTTTTATAATTTGTTTTCCTTCTTGGAAATGAATGATAACCCATCCTGGCCTCCTTTTTTCCATCCTCTCAGATCTGCAATATCTCAAGCGTGTTCTCTTGGCACCCTTCCTTTCTGGTGATCAACCCAGAGCCTCATACAAGCAAGCACTTTACACTGAGTTATATCCCCAGCTCCTTCTTCAATTCTCACTCATATTTTCTTGTTCTTTGTGTCACGGGGATGTCAGACATCTGCAGGCATGAGTGGGAGCCAGAGGGTTTGGAGTCAGAAGAAGAAGAAAAGAGATAGGAAAGAGGGGTCAAGAAGTGTGGGGCCGTAGATTTAGCTCAGTGGTTTCACACCCTGCCTCACATGTGCAGGGTCCCGAATTTGATCCCTGTTACCAAAAAAAATAAAATAAAAAAATTGAACCAAGAAGTGTGTAGGGCTGGGGATGTAGCTCAGCAGCACAGTGCCTGCCTGGTAAGCGCAAGGCCCTGAATTTGATTCCCAGTACAAAAAAAAAAAAAAGTTTAGAAGGTGATAGGAATAATTATTTCTTTAGGGAAGTGTTTCTCAATCTGTGGTCCAAAGAAAAAAATATGCCTTTATTTTTGCTATAGTCCAAGAGAAAATTAGCATTTCCCTCAGTTACAAATAGATCAACAAACCACAATAGAGTTAGCAGTTCCTGTGATCTTGTTATCAAGAGAAATCACAGATATTTTTATGATAGTTGTTGCAGATACCTTAAAATAACATTTATGGACATTTATGACCTCAAATTATAGTGGTGTGTTATTACATTAATAAAATGGATGTATATTATAGTATACTTTTAAAAATATTTTGAAAATTATTTTACTATAGATGGTTTCATTTAGATTCCTATGTATGTTTGTTATGAATTTAAAAACAAGATGTGTTATGTACATGTACCAATTCCCCACAATGAATGTAATTATTATGTACTGCAAATATATACCAAAGAAAAAAAAGAAAATAAAACAAAATTCACACACTTACATTCTGAGAAGGGATCCAGATGTACTACCAGATTGCCAAAAGGTCTGTGGTGTGAAAAAATTAAGAATTCTGATTTTCAGGTATTTTTCTGGATTTTCATTCTTACTGTCACATGATTACCAGGGCCTAAGCAGAGTCCCTTAAGTGAACCGTAAGATCTGTGTTGCTCTTATAGTTTTATTATTGTTTTGCCAGAGAACTTTGCTCCTTTAATTTTCATGCAGCTTTCCTATTTTCTTTTTCATCCTTTTGTCTTTAAATGTGGGTGCCTCTTTATTATTTTTTTCTTTAATTTTTCTGTTTTTATTTTTTGAAGCAAAACATTTACTGGTACACTTTAGATATACAACATTTTTGGGAAGTTTATCCGTTAGCATGTGATAGACTACTATATTTAGGTTGAAAACTCAGTATTTTCTCTAGTCCAGATTGTCCACCTTCTCTGAAGTTCCAGAATTCCAGTTGTCTCTGGACACCTCCACCGGGTTTACCTCTGGTATCTGGAACTGAATAAATTAAAAATTAAGATTCTTCCCTATATCTGCATGATGCCTGAATTTTGCTGTCTGTCCCCTAGTTTTGTGACCTAAAATTAAAAAATTTAAAATCTATTTTTAAAAATTTTAATCTTTGTGAATGGTACAAAAATCAAAAGCTACAAAAGACATGCAATGAGATTGTCTTCCTCCCCCCTGATCCTCTAGGCACTCACATCCCCTCTCAGGAGGCAACCACTGTTATCAGCCTTGAGAGTGATTTTTGATTCCTTCCTACACAATATCAGCTGTATCTCAAGTCCTTCCTTGTCTGTGAGATGTGTGCCCTTTCCTCTCTAGGCCCTCATGATCTTCTATCTGGTTGACTTTAGAGATAAAAATATTTGTTTGTGTATATTTTATATACATATAAAATCTCCCCCTATGGCCTTCCGGCCTAGAGTTTTCATCACGTCGCTTCCTGGATGAAGAACCTAGAAGGGTGAGGGGGCAGGGGTTGGGGGTGATGGAGAGGACCTAAGAGACTCAGGTAGGGGTTTCGGATTGGGCTATTGGTGTGAAGCACTGGGAGGATTCCTATTCCTTTTCCTCCCTCCTCAGGCCTCCTTCCAGTTCTCTGGTCCCAAAGCCTCTCATTTCCAAGGGCTGAGACAGAGACAGAGACAGCGAGATACACAGAGACAGAGACGCCGAGGCACCAGCATCCCTCTCCCCTTCTGTCCCGCCCCACCGCTCTGACGGACATCTGCTCTCAGCCAACGGGGCTCACGATATGCCCTGGAAGAGCCAATGAGAGACAGAGGAGGGCGGAAGATTCCCCGCCCCCACTTCTAGGCTTGGTTGAGCCGTGCAGGTAGGTCCGGAGCTGGGGGAGCTGCCGTTGGCACTGGTGCCCCTGGGGGTGGGGGCACGAGTGGGTCGGGGTGATGGTGGGGAAGGAGAGGCGGCTCTTTCTGGGGAGCCCCGTGGGGGCGACGCAGACGGGAGGAGGGGGGCTGAGGGGCCCGGGAGGCGGGCGCCGCCGAGGGCCCTGGAAGCGGCGGGGCTGGGGGACGTGTGTGTGGGGCTCAGGGACCCCCTCCCGGCGCCCGCCCACTGGCCTGGGCCGGGGGCTGCTGACTGAGTGATTTCGGCCCTGGCTGCCCCGGGGGCGGGCCGGGGCTTGGGGCGCCGAGCGGAGCCGGGGGCTCCAGGCCGAGCCGAGGTGGGACGGACCGACGCTGTGAGGAAAGGAAGCTGCATCCCGCGGGCCGCCCCCTTCTAGGCGAGCCGGGGCAGCAGCCGCCCGCCGGCGCCCCTGCCCAGAGCCCACTCCCCCCACCCCCCAACAATGGACCTGGACAAGAGGAGGCGCCCCACTGCGGGAGGGTGTGTGTGTTGGGGGGGGTAGGTTTGGGACTAGGGTCCGAGGCGGGGGGAGGGGTGAGAACTCGGTCTCTCCCCTTTTGGTTCTCCCGCTGTGTTTGGAGGTGGGGATCACGGGTTTGGGGGGCTCTTAAACCTGCCTGAGACTTAGGTTACGGACCCCCCCCCCCAGTTCTGATGAGCCGTAAGGAAAGTGATGCCAACTCTTCGAAGTCGAAGAGACAAACTCATAGCTTCTAAGAATCTACTCCAGAGGTTTTTATAGTTTTTATTTTTAAAATAAGGATACTTCTTGAGTTTTCGAAATTTATTTTTAAAGAGGTGAGTGCAGTTATTTTTGGCCCTACTTGGGTAAGCCTCCATTTTAAGTGAAACAGTAACTGGTTAAGCTGGAATTTCATTCAGCTCTAGAATTTGAACGAGGATCCATCCTACAAGAGGTCATTTAGTCCATCCTCCTGTCTCCATACAAAAATTAAGTTATTTGGTCAGCTTTTAAAGATCTCTAGGAAAGAGGGGTCTTTTATTTGCTTCTGGTATTCTGATTAAGAGTAGATTTTATTTTTCGTGTAGAATTGGCTCTGTAAGTATGATAAAACTTAGGACAGTTGGGATCATCAGAGGTTTTAAATTTACTAAATAAAATTAAGTGTGGCAAGGGCCTTTAAAAATGATTAGTTGGGGGGCCGGGGATTTAGCTCAGTGGTTTCACTGCCTGCTGCGCAAGCGCAAGGACCCAAGTTCGATCCCCGGTACCAAAAAAAAAAAAAAAGATTAGTTAACAAATCACCTTTCAGTAATGTTTGAAATACCCTGGATAATTTTTTTTTCCTCTCTGGGATTTTGGTTTTCTTATTCTTTGATAAGCAATTTTCTGTTATCTAAAATATAGCATTTCTTTTATATAAAATACATTTTTATACATATATGAAGATGCACATACACTCATTTGCTCTTTTTCAAAGGAGATTGTATCATGTACCCCTTTTTAAGATGGTGAGGCAAATAAAATAGTACTTGAAATCTCTACATAGCTTAAACTGTTTGCATATTCTTGATTTTTTTTTTTTGAGGGGAATCTAAATCAAAATCCTCTCTTTCAGATACCTCCTTGAAACAAAAATTTTCCTACCTGTTTATTCTTGGTGACAGAAGGAATTACTAAGACTCTTTTTGCTCATTTCTGAGTATTGTCTGAACTATTCCTGACACTATGAATGCTACTTGGATGCCTTTTAAGGTAAGATGTGTTATTTTTTACATTGCTAGCCTTTGTAATTTTTTTCATAATCAAGAATATTCTGGGGCTGGGGATTTAGCTCAGTGGTTCTGGCACCTACCTCAAAAGCAGAAGGACCTGAGTTCAATCCTTGGTACCAAAAAAAAAAGAATATTCTGCTTCTTGAATTTCTTCTTCTCTTCAATCTCCTTTTCCCTCAAAAATCATTATATTAGGTTCCTAGGATTTGTCTTGATACTGTTCTTTGTTATTGGTGTTAAAATATGAAGTTCTCGTGTTAACTTTCATTGTAATGATGTGTTTATCTTTTTAACTTTAAAGTATGACAACCTGCATACTTGTAAAATTCTGTTCCAGTCCTAGTAGAATGGGTTGGCAATTCAGTCTTCCAGGTCCACTTTCAAACAGGTACTTTAGAGTCATAGGTACTAGGGTGTGTCCCCTTCTTGCAAATCAGTGGCTGATTCATGTGTTACAAAAGATGTGTCATTAACCATTTGTTTACTCTGAAACTTCATATAGTATATTGGAACATTGTAAGACCTATTGGTTTATACATACAGTTCTTTGGAGAGTTCCCCTGCTGCCCCCTGGGCCATCTCATGAGATTTTACACTTCTTTTTAACAGGTAGCACTTGTGCCAAGTTTTAACTTATAAGTTAAACCTCATTTGGGCAGTGTGGATAGGTGACCTTTAGATGAAAAAGCTCCTGTTGGTGTGGGGGTTTTCCAGTCTTTTATGGCTCCTTCTAATCTCTACATAGATGGCCAGAGAACTCTCCATAAGAATTAAGCAGAGGGCAAAACTAAAGATATAGGGAGATAGTGGGAGGAAGGATGGAGAAAGAAAAAAGTGTTGGCAGCCCTCCACCAGCTTCACCTTCCTTTGGAGTTTCTAGCATGATGAAGATTGTTTTGTGGTAATCTGCTGTTCTATGGAATTCCAGATTAATCCAGTGCCTAAATTAGAATGATGCAGTCTGTGTAACCTAAATATTTGGGCTTGTGGGAAATCTTTAAATAATATAGACTTGAGTTCTCATCGTTTATGTTTCAATTGCTATTGTTGGATAATGAGTGCTTATATTAGTATAAAAGAAGCCGAAGTGACACAGTTTTTCCAGCAGTTCTCCCTGTAGAGTTGGAGGGGTTACATGGGAAACAAAGCCGCCACAAGTCTTGAAGAGCACTGAGGAATTAGAGGGCCTTGTATAAGAGTGTTTCTTTTCTTTTTTTCTTTGCAATGATGGAGATCAAACCCAGGGCCTTATACATTCTAGGCAAGTACCCTATCACTGAGCTACATCCCTAGCCCTTTTTACTTTTATTTATTTATTTCACGGCACTGGGGATTGAGCCTGGATCCTTATACATGATAGGCAAGTGCGCTACCACTGAGCTACATCTTCAGCTCTTTTTTAAAAATTTTATTTTGAGATAGTCTGGCTAAGTTGCCTACACTGGCCTGCAATTTCTTATCCTTCTTCCTCAGCCTCTTGATAGGGGGTAGCTGGTGTTGTAGGCAAGTGGCCCACCCCACCAGACCCTTTTTGAGACAAGATCTTGCTAAATTGTCAGGCTGGCCTTAAACTTAGGATCCTCCTGCCTCAGCTTTCCACGTAGCAGGGGTTACAGGTGTACACCACCACAACTGGCTTTGTTTCTACTTATTTTTCTTGTTTCAGGTACTGGAGATTGAACTCAGGGATGCTCTACCACTGAGTTACATCCAGTCCTTTTTATTTTTGAGACATGGTCTCATTAAATTGCCCAGGCTGGCTAGGCTCGAACTTGCAATCCTCCTCTCTCAGCCTCTCAAGATGTAGCATTGCAGACATGTGCCACCAAGCCAGCTGTTTGTACTTTTTTTTTTTAAACTGTTAGGAATATTCATTTATTAAGTCCTTTGCATAAGCACATTAAAAAAATTTCCTCTTCTTTAAGAAGTACTAAAATTTATAGCCATATTCTGAACCTAATCTTAAGTTGGCACAACAGATAATATACCAAAAATGTTTATATTTCATGTAACAAGCATTTAGTGCCAAGATTTGGCAGCCCCTATTCTCCTAGGAAGCAATCAAGAGAATTGGTATCAATATATCAGTTTTCATGTTGCAGTTTTCTTGGTTTTAACAAAGGTGTTAGGTGCAGAGAGGCTTGTTTTTTAAATTATCTGTAATCTCTAAGTTTTACCTCTTAAGTCTCTGTAAACCTAGAGTATTACAATACAGTAACCTCTGAAGTTGTAGCAAAGGCCTCTGGCATGGGAGGAATGTAGAATGGAAGTCAGTGCTGCCTACCTGTTTACTACTTGAGAATGTAGATATGTGGCTGCCATAGTTTTATTGTTCCCTACCAATCTTTTGATCAGTGGAAACTGTCTTCTAAGCCTAAACACATTTTTTTATTTGGTAACATTTTCCTTCTATTTTTATTACTTTAAAAAACTTAAAAATTACAGTGTTTGATTTGGGTAGAATAAAAGGTACCTTTTCACAGAAAGAGAACAATGACGTATGGTCTCTGGTATGTGACATGGAGCTACTATCTATTGTGTTAGGAAGATCTTAGGGGTTGCCTTGTGCGCTAGACTGAATGGTGGTGAAAGCAGGTAAAAAGTGCTGTTACAAGCGAAAGGACAGAAGTAAAATGGAACCCAACATGATACGGAAAGATCTCCAAGATGGACAGTTCAGTGATAACAGCAAAATGCAAAACAGTGTGTATGATATATTACCCTTTGTGTTTTTTGGGAAAAAAGGAGGCAAGGGTGTAGCTTAGTGGTAGTGCTGCACAAAGAAAAGAAAAAAGATAAAAAGAAGAAAAGAAGATTTGTATTGGTTCATGTGTACTTTTAAAAAACTCTCCACACCTGTAATCTCAGCTACTTGCGATCCTGAGGCAGAAGGATGGCAAGTTCAAGGCCAGCCTGGCAAACATAGTGAGACCCTGTCTCCAAATAATAAAAGCTAGGTGTGCTGGTGCAAGCCTGTAATCCCAGCATTCTGGGAGGCTGAGTTAGGACTGCAGGTTTGAGCCCAGACCAGGCAATTTGGTGACTTAGTGAGACTCTGTCTCAATAAAAAAAGGGCTGAGATGTAGCTCAGAGTAAAGGCCCTAGGTTCAATCCCCAATATGAGAGGATTTAAAAAATGAAATGGGTGGAGCTCAGTGACAGAGCACCTATAGGCTCAGCCCCCACCACCACAAAAACAAAAACAAAAAACCCAAAAAACTTCGTGTGTGTTTGTGAGGGGTAGGGATTGAACCCAGGGTCTTTGCACCAAACTATACCTCCAGCCCTTTTAAAATTTTTTATTTGGAGACAAGGTCTCATTAAGCACTAAACTGCCCAGGCTGGGCTTGAATTTGTGGTCTTCTTGCCTCCTCCTCCCAGAGTGTTGGAATTACAGGCATGCGCACCTTGCCCAGCTTCAAAAAACTTTAGCATAATAAACAAAATGATAACATTTGTTACCTGTTAGGTCTAGGAATTGGGCAGGTAGACAACCCAATGAAAAGGAGACTATTTTTTTTTTACCTTGCTGTTACTGAGGATTGAACCCAGCTCTACTACTGAGCTACATCCCCAGCCCTTTTAATTCTTTTTTTTTTTTTTTGAGACAGGGTCTTGCTATTTAGTCCAGGCTGGCCTTGAACTCACTGTGGAGCCCAGGCTGGCCTTGCATTTGCAGCAATCCTCCTGCCTTGGCCTCCTGAGTGCTGGGATTACAAGAGTGTGCCACCATCCCCGGCTCCTTTTAGTGTATTGAGACAGGGACTTGCTAAGTTGCCCAGGTAGGACTTGAACTAGAGATCCTCTTTCTTCAGCTTCCCTCAGTGCAGGGATTACAGGCATGTGCCACCATGCCTGGCTTGTATTCTATCTTTTTACATTTTCTGATGAAAAATGGCAAGGTGACAGTTCAGAGGACAGAACAGTGATTAGTGGCTAAAGGCATACGTATGCAAGGGTCCAGCAATCTAGGACATGTGCTCCCTTGAGATCTCAAAGAATTTTGAATTTATAGATACGTATTTTTAGTAGTGAGCTTCAAGTTCAGGCATTAAAATTTTTCCTTGCTTTTACAGTTTTGTGTTTTTGAGACAGGGTTCACTAAGTAGTTTACGCTGGCTTTGAACTCATAGCAATCCTCCTGCCTCAATCTTGTGAGTGCTGGGATCACAGGTGTGTGCCACCATCTCCAGCTTCTCTTAAAGTTTTAATAAAAGGTTTTCATTGTTGTTTCCACAAGTTTGCACTTAGATATACTATGACAATTCTGGGCTATGTGATCTTAATCTAAGATTTGGGGTCCTCCTTTGTACTGGAAAGACTAACACTTCAGAAGTTTTTGTGTGCATTATATCTGCAAAGAACATGGGGTAATGCCTGGTTTAATGAGCTACTGCTGTTGCAATAATTGTTACTGATAATAGTTCTTCATAGCCTAGCGATAAAATTTGGTCTCTTCTGATGTTTTGCAAGTTCGTTGACATCTAAGAGCTTTGGTATCCTCATTTTTGAAAAGGATATAATTATAATACCTAAATTTTAGGGTGGATTTTGTAAGGGTTAAATGATGCACAGTATTTAGTATTGAGGCATGTGGTAGGTATTCAGTAATATGAACTGCTGATTTTCTTCAGGATATCTGTTTGTTAGGAGTCTTGTAACAAAGTAACATAAACCAAATGGCTTAAAGAACAGTAGTTTGCCAAGTGTGGTGGCACACACCTGTAATCCCAGCACTTGGGAGCCCAAGGCAGGAAGGTCTCTGAGAGTTCAAGGCCATCCTGGGCTACATAGTGAGACCTTGTCTCAAAAAATTTATTGTCTACCAGGTATAGAAGCTGGAGATATAAGGGCAATGGTATATTTCCTCTAAAAATGTTTGGGGGGGGTGGGGTTTTAGGTCAGTAGTGGTTCTGCCTCCTGCCTTGAAAGCATAAGGTCCTGAGTTCGATCCCTGGTACCCCCCAGAGAAATTTATCA